CCTTAAAATTTCCTTGTTATTCATACTCATATACTCCATACCCTAATACATAGCTCATACCTTGGGCTGTTTATTTTGCTGGCAGCCATACATTTTTCTTTTTATAGTTAACAATTAATCCTTTTTTTTCTCCCCATCCTGGGTATGACGATAAACTACATCCACATCCTGGGTAAGACGATAAACTGTGTCCAACAACAAGGCCTCTGATCTGGATGTTTTGAGGATCGTGGAACCACCACTTAATTGCTAGTGTTCTCAGGTCCACCCTGACCCAGGGTGGTAGCACCTGTTATGGTCCCAGCTATGAGCAAATACTTAACCCTAAACTGGGGTCAAAATACTATGAAAGTATAAAAATAAGTTTTAATACCAGAAATACTTTGTAGAAAAAAATGATTACCAGCAATACTTTAAAAAAATATATTACCAGCAATATACTTTTTGAAAAAAAAATATTAACAGCAATAAATTTTTGAAGAAAAAATATTCCTGGAAATAGATTCTTGAAGAAAAGATATTACCAGCAATATGCTTTTTGAAAAAAAAAAATATTACCAGCAATAAAAATTTTGTCGGCATTAAATAACCCATTGAAGTTGATATGCTGTAAAACAAACGAAACCAAACCTTTTTCTCCTTTTATTTTCCTACTATATCTGTCGAACAATCACGTGGTCAAGATAAACACTCAGTTGTGGAGCAAGCTGAGTGAAGAATGATTCAAATTGAGGAAGAGAGTTATTTATGGTGCAATGGAGCATCTCATTATGCTAAAGTGGGATAGTCCATTGCTTGGGCTTTGATTGGCTGCTGGTACCTGAGTGGAAGTATTTCTATATAAATACCAGCTTAATTTCAGTTAGTTTGCAGGGTTTGTATTAGGTTACAACCTGCTTTATTTTTGTCTGCCAGCTGGACGCTAGCTGGAACTCTTACGCCGGTAAGTGTCGTTTATTGTATTGTTATTCTACAATATCAAGGAGTTCTTTCAATTTTCTTTTTCAGACTGTCACCAACACAGTATCATCTGCACATCTTATACTGTTATTCATGTGTAACATGGACACACACAGTGTGTGACAGACAAACAGACAATTGGCTCTTCTTTTGTTATAAAGATTTTGTGTTTTTGAGGACATTCACTTTGATAATTAAGAAAATCAGAGATTTTGTTTTTGGGTTTTGTTTGTTTGTTTAAATGGCAAATCAACACCTTATGGGTCATTTTTTAATGTTGAAATTTAATTTTCATGGGAGCATTAGTGACTTGTTCAACAAAAATGTATTGCTGGTAATATTTTTTACTATGAAAATGTATTGCTGGTATTTTTACTATAAAAATGTATCTTTATACTTTCATAGTGTTTTGACCCCCAGTTTGTGTGTGTGTGGGGGGGGTTACCTATTTACCCATAGTTGGGACCCTAACAGATGTTACCACCATGGATCAGGATGGACCTGGAAACAACAGCAATTAAGAGGTGGTTTCATGCTTCTCAAAACCTCCTGATCAAGTGCTGCTGGATATCATAGCCAGGATGCACTTTTGGGTTTTAATACAATGAAGACTTAATAACCGTTAACGTTGATGGAAAGATCAAAGAAAAGGATCTTATTATTAATGTTAAGTTCAGGAGAAACTGTCAAGCAGAGTTGTTCATAAAGATTTCTTATTTCATCTTGGTCTTTTGTTAATTTAATCTCTGGGTGTAGAGTGTTACCATTCCAGGCCTTATAGTTTAAAGCATTGGTTTGTGAAGTTGGTGACTTAGTACACCTTGTTCAAATTAATTGAAACAACTGCTTTAGTTTCCTTTCTTTCACTATACGGTCAGTTTTAGCCCCACTGGAATGACAGGGTGTAATCGATTTCTATTTTTTCCTCAGATTAGGTCATTTGCAATGGTGTGCAGTAATATGAATCTATTTTCAAGGTGTATAATGAAATTTCTTTGGCTTTGAAAAATATTGCATCATCTGTGATTGCATCAGATTTTTATCATGCCCAGACACTATTGTCTCGACTATCAATCAGTTGTCCTACGGCCATTGTCTGTGATGGACATTACTCCAAAGAAGCGTACAAAAATTGTAATGCTGCATGAACACACTGGCAAGCCTTACCAGTGAGCAAATCAAAGTCCTATGGACTGGACTGGAAACTCTCCTTATTTAAATCCAATCAAGAATCTGTGATCAATCTGCAAGGAATGACTTCATTGCATTGACAAAGTACTAACATGTACACTGGGTCATGTTTCTTGGAAAAATATAATAAAAAAAGTAAATAATAACAGAATTATTTGTTTTGTTTCAATTAATTTGTACAAGGGTGTAATTGTGAGTTCAATCCCTAGACATGATCAGTTGAGTTGGCTAATTCACAAAACAAAAGCAAGCAACTATTAGACATTAATAAAACAAAACTGTTCCCAAAATAAGAATAGTTTTCACATGCAAAAGTGAAACAGTCAATTGGTTATACCACTCTCACTTTAAGGCAAGAGAGAACAAAAATGTGGGGATAAGACAAAGAATTGTTCATTTTTTTATTGGTTGAAAAGAAATCTCAAGATGCATCTGTAAGATTTGTCTATAAATTTGATGAGAGGAAGTTTTTAACAGTCATTCCAAACAGATTGTAACCCTCATAAATTAAATAAAGAGTTTAGTTCAATATTCTCTGTGGGTTACCCAAATCGAAAAACACCTGATAAAGACCAGAGAACATAACTGTCAAAATGCCATGATAATAACAGAAAAGCACAATAATCTACATTAAAATAATGCAAATAATAAGCCCTTATTTCAGAAATTCAGATAGAAAATAAGCCATAGATTTGTAAAATTATCAAAGATTTTGTTTTCTAAATGAGCCATGTGGAAATTAGATAAAGTGAGATCAAGATGTGACCCTATAACTATACCATTAATCTGTATACAAGATTGAATCAGTGAACTAAGGTTAAATTCTGACTGAAACTTATATTCACTTTTGTACTACTGCCCTTGGAAAAGGCATAAACTCATCTCACTCTCCCCAGCTGAATATTAAATAGCAAAGCAGACTGGTTCCTCTTGCTTGAGAATTACAAGAAGAGAATTCCTTGTATCAAAGCATGGTTTAGGATATCTGTGTTATTTGTTACTGCTTACTCTGTTTCCATTGAGATCAAGTTTGTACTAATCAGATCAGGGATTGAACTCACAAGAGCTGAGAGGATTAATGTATTGGTTTGTGAATTTGAAAACATAGTACTTGTAGGTTCAATCCCCGGCCAAGTAGTGCAGACTCAGTATAATAAAACCAGGATGAACAATAACTGAGCAATACTTAAAAAAAACAAAAAAAAAACAGTGAGATTTCATTAAACATGGACAATAGAACAGCTACCCCCATAGACTAAATACAAGATTCAGTTTGAAATTCCCTTAAGGTTACCTGGGCCAACACACACCTGAAGAAAGCCAAAGGACACAATGCACAAAATATTATGATAACATATTCTTCTTGTTTTATATTGTGTTCCTTAAGGATGTTGGCAACCATGGCTTTCCACAAATTCCTGTCTTTTGTTGCTCTTAATAAATGTTGTCTTTTGGTCATACTGCAAATAATGGTAAGCTTCTCATCTCGAAAATTCAGACATAAACATTCACTTGGTGATGACCAAAGAATATATCTATTGAAATATAGTCTTCTTCTATGCAACATGTCCTTTCAGAATATGGGGAATAATGGCCCACCCCAACTTCCTATCCTTTGTAATACTTAGCTGACTTGAAATGCTATACTAAAAGTAATAAAGATGAAGACAAAAATTGGAAAAATATATTATTTTCTCAATCCAAAACTTAATCTTTTCCAAATATCTATTGAAAAAAAAAAATGGATAGTAATGACTCTGAGCTGATCTTTTAGGAGAGGCTCCTATGGCTAGATAGAACAGATATGTACACACTTTTCCCAAGGAGTTCTTCACGAGCCAAGATTACTGATGGATCTCTGTGATGAGAAGACCACACTCTACACTTTCCTTCCAAGTAGTGCTATAAATAGTGGAAGTGAGCAAGAATGTTATAATTTGATGTGTATATGCAATAGTGTTCAAGTTCTATCTGTGCCAATGATTTCACTCTGTGTACTTTAGCTTCATTACCATAGCAGGAGTCCTGATAGTTTTTGATCAGACCTCATATATCTTGTTGGAATAAGAAAACTGAAGTTGATTCTAGTCTGGGTATATTAGATTCTGAATTGCCATAAACCAGTGCATTTATTCATATATGAAAATGTGTACGCCATAGAAGAACTTTGTATCATATTTCTATTATTTAACAGTTTTTGGAGAAACCATTGTCTGGTAACATTTTGTATCTGTTCCTTAGAGACAGTCATTGACATTTTCTTTTTCCGTCTAAGTCTTTTATTTATTGTTTACTCAATGAGATTTTACAATAGTTGTAACCAGTGACTTTTAGTGGGCTGTCCTCGGCATTTTTTTTATCTTGTATTCATGGGTTTTCATACCTGTAATAACAGGTGCAGGATATACAGGTAGTGTAACTGTTATCAGCAGAAAAGTGAAAGCACTAGGTTCAAAATCTGGCTTAATCTGTTGCATTCACTTTCACACTAATACCCTTAGGAATGGGTTATTTTTAATAAACCTAAAATCACTACTGGATTCTTTATAAACTTTATAAAATTATATAATTTGAGATATTTTAGAAATCAATAATTATTAGAAAATTTTAATATTTATAATTAATATTGGATTTTATAATAGGCATTAATGGATTAAGTAATTCTACTCATGATATAATGAGATATATAAACATTTGTTGCTGAAATCTATTTTAGAGTTATTAGCATAAATTTTACTGGTAGGGAAAGTGGAATTGATGAGACGAGTTCAAATTCTGGTCTAGTCAGTTGCATTCAGTGTCGCACTAATTCTCTTACAAAAGGATGAATTCATCATTGGGAGCTTACAACCACATCACTTTGAAACACCAGTTCCCATCATATCACCAAAGTTAAGCAATGTCAAGAGTGGTCAGTACTTAGATGGGTGACCACTTGGGAATACCAGGTCCTGTAAGTTTGGATGTTGTAATGGATAATGGCTCAGAATTGTTAGAGGGCCAAGTTCCAACTCCTATTGGGTTCGTTATATTCACTTACAAGCAAATAACCTTGGAAAAAGTATGAATCCATCTCCTCTCTCCAGCTATGGGTTAATTAGTAAAACTTGTATCACTAAACTATTATTATCTTTAAAAGAATATATCTAAAAGTATTTCATGCCTTTAAATAACCTGCAAACAATTGATAAGCTGTAGAAAATTAATGAATAAATCATTATTTTTCACCAGTAAGTCCCTTACAAAAGGCATGAATATCCATTACTTCCCCCCCCCCAATTATAGCAGGGTAGACTGAGTTCTCTAGCTTTGTGTCACGATCGATCGAAGATAGTGATTCTCAACCTGTTTTGCCTGATGCACCCTTTTCACCATAAGTCAGGGTGTCATTACCCCACCTCTTTCCAAGATTGTCGGGACAAAAGGTATGTGTGTGTGTGTGTGTGTGTAGTGTATTGTGGTAGCAGATCATTACTCAAACATACATTTTTTAAATATAACAGACAACGAATATCTGTTATGTTTGATCTTAAGCCGTTTCTAGTATATATTATTGAAAATCTTCATTCTATTCAATATTTGTATGTATACATTTACATGGATTATTTTTGTAGTGGCAAAAAACACAAGCTAGTGAAAAGAAAACCCAATGTAACCTCTCAGTTGTACAGATCAATGTACATTGCTGGTTGTGCCACCTTAGAGAGTTCGAGTTTATTTGTGAATTTCGACTCGGGAGCTCAGACAGAAAGATGGGTTAAAATTGTTCAGGAATGCAGAACTCAAAGAGTTAATGGTGTTTCATATGAAAATTAGTAAATGTTGTTGAATTTTTATTTACAGGGGTTGAACAAAATAATTGGAACAGTTGCAAAATCCACTCCTATAGTGATTTTCCAAGCGTAGCTCAGATGTGGCACAAGGCCGAAAGTATGAGGCACCCAGTGAGGAAAAATCCACTCCTATATTTCAAAGACCTATTATATTAAGTGTGGGGAAAATAGAAATGGTTTACCTCCCAAACACCCTCACGTCTGTCTGGCCTGTGGGTTGAGAAAGGAAAGAAAAGATCCAAGATGGCGTCCGTGACTTTTAATATTCACGGTCTCGTGCAGTCACGCAAAGTCGCGTTACACGCATGCTAATGGGGTGTGCCTGGGCTCCATAAAAGCAGGTCGCTTGGAGAAATTGGCAGAACGGCATTACACCCGTGTTTGGTGTACATTGCTTTGCGTTGCAGCGTGTCAGACATTTTCAGACGGAAAGAGTTGCATCCCTTACACTGTTGAAGTCGACTCATTTGCTACATTAAGAATATTAACTAAAAACTTTGTAATTGCAGGTTATATCTATTGCAAATACATTTATTTATCTAATTTACTGTCTTTGTCTTATTTATTTTTAGAATTTAGTAAAAACTTTAAACTAAATGCGTGACCTCTCCGAGTTCGAAAAAGAGTAAATTGTTGGAGCTCACATGGCAGGAGCCTCAATCACTAAGGTTGCTGAACTGTTTGGTTTTTCAAGAGCTACTATATCAAGAACACTGATGCAATTCAAGAAAAGGGCAAGACCTCTAGCAACCATAGCAATTCGAGCCGAACTTGCAAACTTACTGACAGGGACCAACATGCATTGAAATGCAATTTGGCAAAAAAATCATCGGACAAATGTGACCAAAGTGACTGATGAGTTGAATAACCATCTGAATAGTTCAGTTTCTACTAAAACTGTTCCCCGTGAGCTCCATAAGGCTACATATCATGGAAGAGTCGCTGTGAGGAAACCTCTTCTCTCAACTTGCAACATTCAAATGAGGTTTAAGTGGTGCAGAGATCACAATGCCTAGTCTGCAGACCAATGGAAGCAAGTCATATTCTCAAACAAGTCCAGTTTTTCTCCTTCCCAACTTCAGGGTGAGTTTATGTGTGGAGGCAGCCGAAAGAAGCTTACAACCCTGACTGCCTTCTTCCAACAGTGAAGCATTGAGGTGGAACAGTGATAGTTTGGGCCGCCATATCATGGAAATGTCTCAGTCCAATAGTTGACCTGCATGGTAGGATCAACAGCAGAGATTACCTGAACATTTTGGGAGATCATGTTCATCCAATGGCCAGGACTTTATTCCCTGATGGTGACTGTATCTTCCAAGATGATAATGCTCCAATACATACCACTCGAATGGTTAAGAATTGGTATGAAGAGCATGAAAGTGAGCTAGAACACATAGAGTGGCCTCCCCAATCTCAAGATATCAATATTATTGAACATTTGTAGTGCATTTTGGAGCAATGAGTTAGGAGCCACTATCCTCCACCGTCGTGTCGTAAAGAGCTGGAGAAGGTTTTAATGGAAGAATGACTGAAAATTCCTCTGGATGAAGTCAGGAAGCTATATGATTCCATTCCTAAACATATTAAAGCTGTCTGTGAGACTAAAGGAGGACCAACTCCAAATTAAATAAATTTTCTTTGAATTTAACAAGTGATCCAATTGTTTTGTCCAGCTCCTTTATTTATATTATTAGGCAATAAATTATATCACTTAGAGGCCTCTGTAGCTTACCTTTCCTTATGCAGTTGGTTTTAAGAATACTTTCAAGAGTTCTTAAATTACGTCAGAAACAAGGAAAAGATTTCTGAACTCTGCTATGTAATGTCAATCCTGATATATGGCAATAAATACTGGACAATTTTCTCACCAAGGAAAAAGAGACTTGAAGCAAAAGAGACTTGAGGCAAAAGAGACGTTATTCTTCAGAAGAATGCTGAGAATACCATAGACTGAACATGTGAGTAGCGAGGAAGGTTTAAGAAAAACAGAAACAAAAAGAACAGTTTTACTTACATTATTTGCATTATTCAGACTGTTATTCTCATCTGCATTGCCATATTCACAACATTTCAGCCATTGTACACTCTGGCCTTCTTCAGGTGATTGGAATTTACTCAAGGACACATCGCCCAGTGGATAAAGACGTTGGTTAGATCCAGTGACTAGACCCAAAGAGTTGTGAGTTCAATACCAGGCCATAGCAGTGATGAACCATACTTGGAGAATTGAGTAAAAGGGAAATAACTGAGACATCCAGAAAAGGCATAGCACATGGAACTAGAACAATCTACCCCAGTGGATGAAATAAAGGGTTTTGTTTGAAATTCCAATCACTTGAAGAAAGCTAGAGCATAAAACGGCTGATATGTTGTGAATATGGCAATGAAGATGAGGATAACAGTCTGAATAATTAAATAATGTAAGTAATCATAATACCTCATCTCAGAGAAATAGACAGATATAGAACAGTTTTACTTAGAATCAGAACAAAATAGCTACAATTTCTAGGGCACGAGGAAAGAGGGCTTGGAGAATTTGACACTCACAGGACACATTGAAGGAAAGAGGAACAGAGAGAACAGTAAGTAACCTGAATAACATGCTTGTGTCATTGGTTGGCAGAACAGGGGGTGATGGAAAGATAAACCTTACTAAAAGCTACCACAAATAGGAAGTTATGGAGAGCCATGATCAACCATATCCTCAAAGGACACAGCATATAGAAGAAGATGAATATCAGGCAGGGGATGTGTTCAGGACCTAAACATTATCAACATGAACAGATCAATCGGCAAACCAAGTTCAAATCCTATTTAGTCTATGGTATTCACTTTTTCACAAATACTTGTGAGGAAACGTATAAATCTATCTCTTCTCACGCTATCTTTGAGTTAAATAACAGAGTAAATGGAACCCTCTAGTTTTGTGAAACATCCATTCTATGACAAGGACAATTCTGAATAGTAAGTCTCTGTAGAAACCATTCCACCATCTTTCTCTGGAACACATGGCAATTGACAGTTAATATAGTAAAGGAAGCTATGAAGAGCCATGATCCCCTATGTTCTGAAGAGGCATGGTATTTCAAAGATGATGTGGATCCCTCCTATGGGTTAAATAGCCTGGTAAACTTCACTTTCTAGCCTTAAATGAACCGGGAAAAATCTTAATTTGAAACCATAACGAGATGTACAAGGAATCCATTCTACTATCTTTCCCAAAAAGTCATAGTTATTCACAGCTAATATAGAAAAGGAGGCTAAGGAGAGCCATGATCATCTATATCCTGATGGAATAGAGCAGGGGTTCTCAACCATTTTCATTCTATTGCCCCTTTTTCACTATTTTTCGATGTAACCACCTATGCCCATTTGTAAAAATATAAATTAAAATATTTTACTTGTGGTTGATGTTTTGCTGCTAGAAATTTAATATTTGGTTTAAAATTTGTAAGTTTCAATCTTATGTCTCCTCAAGTACATATATCAATTATATTTCTTTCTTGGGTCAAGATTTTATTGATTGCACTTAATCTACGTTCAGCCAAACAAGAGGTTGGAAAGCATATCAGTATTTCAGTCATTTCAGACCACATGTTCGGATGCAGCTGTTTTGCTGTATTTGACAGCCATAATTCTGTTATTCTGCTGCTTTTAAATTTGTACTTGAATTCATCATTGTGTTTCAATTCAATAAGTTATTCCTGCAAATTTTCACTAACAGCTTCTATATTATAACCAAAAGGATCCATCATCCATGGATGGATCTCTAACTAAAATAAATCCGAAAATCAGCTTCTTTCAAATTCACTAAATATTCTGCGTACTTTTTACTTTGTTCTAAGAGGTGTTCACTTACTTCTGTTAACTTGGATATGTTATTGAAATTCTTCTTCTGTATATTAACTCAAAATAAGTCTAATTTTTCAGAAAAGGCTTTCAGAACACATTTGCAATCTAGCAATGTGCATAATTTACCTTGAATCTGGAGTGAAACTTCATTGAACTTTCAAAAAATCCATGCTAAAACCTAAATGTCACATATGTGATACCTGATTTCCTCTATCAAAATTTTTTTCACATACATTTTCGAAGAAATTAACTATTGTACCAAATAGGTTTAT